GCTCTGTGCATGACAGGGGGCAGTGCCCCAACCCCCCAATCGGCCCTGCTCTGAGCCCAACCAGGAGCTGCACCTAGGGATTGGGCCTGCCCTCTGCCACCCAGGAGCAGGCCTAAGCCAGCAGTTCGTTATCTCCCGAGGGGTCCCAGACTACTAGAGGGCACAGGCTGGGCTGAGGGACCTCCCTCCCCCCTGAGTGCACAAATTTTTGTGCACCAGGCGTCTAGTATATATATAAAAGGCTAACATGATTGTGCACTATGATGTTTGCTGACCATCATGGAGCAGCTTGGAATGAAGGCCCCAATCAGCCCTGATCACCGGCCAGGCCTAGGGACCCTCCCCGTGCACAAATTGTGTGCACTGGGCATCTAGTAACCAAGGGTCCTCAAGTTTTTTAAATGGGGCCAGTTCACTGTCCCTCAGACCGTTGAAGGGCCGGACTATAGTTTAAAAAAAAACTATGAACAAATTCCTATGCACACAGCGGTGGCAAAATCACCCGGCAGGCCGGATAAATGTTTTTGGCGGGCCGCATGTGGCCCGTGGGCCATAGTTTGAGGACTCCTGTAAGTAAACTATATAAAATGTTAGTGGGAATGATTGCTTGTTTATTCTACTGTCACATTTCATCAAACACTATTATTATGTGTTACATTCCTCTTTGATATCAGTAGCTTCATCCTCACTGGAATCTCTTTTTGAATTATTTGACAGTTTTTTTGTTTGTTTGTTTTGAAATCAAGAAAAAGGGATAGGAGGAAATAGAAACATCAGTAATGAAGTCATTGATCAGCTGCCTCTGGCAAGCCCCCTACTGGGTTTTGAGTCCAACCTGGGCATGTGCCCTTGACTGGAATTGAACCTGGGACCCTTCAATTCACAGGCCAATGCTCTACCCACTGTGCCAAACCAGTTAGAGCATATTTGACAGTTTTTAAGAACCTATCATCTTCTATGCTATTTAGGATTTAATGATTTTTGAATATGTGTATGATGCTGCTCTGGAAGTTTTACCCAGGCAGATATCTAAATACTAATTAATACTAATAGAATAATGAGGTTTTTCTTTTTATTTGTCTCACATGTGTCTTTTGCCATATTCTTTAGGTGTTTAATTAAAAGGGTAATGTAACTTTTGCAATTGTGAGGTCATTACCGAAGGAATAACTAAATCTGTGTTCTATTGTGGTGCTTCTCTTTTTAAAAAAATTTTAGTTAATTTTACTTTATTTTTTCATCACCATTTATCCCCCATACCCTCTTCCACCTCCACCCTCCACCCCCATAGTGCTTCTCTTTTTAATTGAACCAGCAGATGACCTCTCTAAGCTTTCAAACCTAGTGCTAATTTCAAGCTTGTGTCTTCCCCAGATAGTTACTTAAAATGAAATAATCGAGAGAGTCCCATAATAGAAGGATCTTTAAGACTCAAAGACAAAGTTATTTCTTCATTTCTAAGGAATGTTTTTGGAAAAAAATAATCACCTTAGATTTGAGAACATATGGTACATTGGAAGTAATAATGTAGGTGGGGAAAAATTGATAAGAGCTATAAAAGAGCAAAGCACTTTTAGTGTCTTCTAGGAGTGCTCTGCTTTTTAAATTTACTTTTCTTCTTTTCACTGCAGGTCTATCATTGCACTGTGTGCCAAAATGTTTTCTGTGTGGACTGCGATGTTTTTGTCCATGACTCTCTCCACTGTTGTCCTGGCTGTATTCATAATATTCCAACTCCTTCAGGTATTTGATTCCAGCATATAGTACACATTATATGTGTTAAAAAGAAACTTGCAACTGTAAATAAAATGATTCTTTAGAAGAAGCTCCAATTAAACATGAAAAGCAGTTCAAAAGGAAAATCTGACTTAAGAAACCTTTTTGCTAAGAAAATGTAATATTTTATTATATTTTAAAATTTGTGTCCTGCCCCAGCAATCCCTAGAATTCAATAGTAGTTCTTTTAGTTAATTTTGTTTTCTATTATTTTTGAGTCATAATGTTTTCTTTTTTAAAAAATAATTATTTATTGTTGAAAGTATTACATATGTCACCTTTCCCCCATTGAGTTACATTATTATATTTATAATTTTCAGTGATTGAGTTTTATTGAT